CCTTATTCTTTTCCTAACTATGCCAATCAATTGGTGGGCATAGTTACTGGTAAGGAAGTTTTGATGTTTTCCTTTTTCTTTCTCTCTCTTACTCTGTTTTAGGCCCTTTTTTATTCTTGGAGAGTGAGAATTTCATTTTGTGTAATCCTTTGTTGACTCTCTACGTATTTGATTCCTTGAACAAAATCTAAAGTGTTATTCACCTAGAATTAGTCCATGCGCAAAAAAAAAACAAAAAGAAGAAAGAAAAAGTGTTATGTGAAAAAAATAAAAGAAAGACACTTTGATGGAATCTATCTAAAAGTAAGGATCTTAGAAGATGGATGGCAAAGGAGTAACCAAGGTGCAACTAATACATTAAAATGCCATTGGAGTTGAGTCACTTGAATCTGTTATGGAAGCTATAACTCAGATGCTGGACCAAAAAAAGAATCATCTTGAACAAGTAGAAAGGTAAACATAAGAATATCCTGCACACCTTAGGGTGAAACCTGTGTGTAATTTTTATGTTGCCGTAACACCACTGCCTAAAGTGAAACACCAAATTTTGGTTTATTAAAGTTAAATTGACTACTTAGATTAACTTGCTGGACTAATGCAGAGTAAGTGAACATTCTTCACGTCCGAAGACTCCACTGCTATCTAATTCTGATGGCTGCACACTAGTCTCCCACTGCTTAAATTCGATTTACTGTTTTATTATTATTTTCAAATTTATTTTTTACGAGGTGCTAAAATGATAGAAGTTTGCTGCCCTTTTCCTATATTGACGTTGGTTATTTTTTTAAAAAATAAGAAGTAACAAGTTGTGGGCAATATCATGCATATATTTAATTATTAGCTTTATTGTAATTCATCTTAATATTGAGAAGAGTTCTTCCTCTCGTTGTCAAAACCAAGGGGCTAAATGGCATGAAAGGCATAATTTCTTTTGTTATGTTTTTTAATGATTGCTAATGCTGTTGACATTTGCTTTGTGACTTTAATCAAATGTCTCTCAAATTGGAATCCACTTTGCATTCTGGTTTCTAGAAAGGAAAAAAAATATAGGCAATCACATATGATCTGAACCACATACAGTCATGGATCTTTCATTAATCGACCCATTTTCTTCTATTGTTGTATTTTTTCTCCTTATTTTCTTGGGGTTTTAATGAATGTACTCCTAATTAGGCTAAATATTTACCATTAAAAATTTAGCTTGTTTCATACCTGAATTTATATTCCCAGCTCTCTACTATAGTGATTCTCATGTCTAGTACTTAAGCTCTTGAGATTGTTTGGTACTTAGGTTACATGAGGATATGATGTGATTCTCATTAGTTTGTGAAGGTCAAAGCAAGTAAGTTCATTCTTTGTAAGAGCGACTACCAGAAATCAATCCCATTTATCAGGATACAATATTGATCATTTTAATGAGTAAAATGCTAAATAGTCATTTTTTAAGTAAGTTAAGGTAAATTAAATAAGTTTTAGAGAGAGTAGGTTGAATAGATATAGTTCAATTTTTTGGGCTGTCAAATCTGAGTGTTAAAGAAGCCAAAGTCATGTTTTTTTAAATAATCATTTGTTGATTCTTTTATTATCCCATGAATTTGAATCCAAAAAATCTTCCTTAGTTTACGTTTTTCACCTGAGGGAGAAAGTAGAGTTTGTGCTCCCATGGGAGCATAGTACACACACTAATATATAATATAATATAAGATTGAGGGCGAAAACATAGTATAGTGTACTTTTGAGGGATTACATTGTCCACTTACCCTCTCATATATAAGATCCATATAGGAGTATTTTCTTGTTCTAAAATTTATGGATTTAAAATAGCCAAATGAATGTGTGTGTTTATATATATATATATATATATATATGATTTTGAGTTTCGAAATGCTTATATCTTATTGCTTATTTTTTTCTTTTCTTTTTTTGGAAAAATAATCATCTGGTGATGCTTTCACTTACCCCCTTAAATATTAAACCAATTTAAGAGTATTTTTTGGATCTAAAATTTTGGGATCCACCTAAAAAATGACCAAATGAGTATTATTTGAAAAAAATGGATTTTGAGTTTTTAAACAATTAGATTTGACTTCCCCAATTTTTTTAGGAAATACTCATTTGGTGATTTTTAAGTGGATCCGAAAATTTTGTATCCAACAAATCTTCTTGAGCTTTTTCACCTAAAATGTCATGTGGCCTTTATTGTCCTGCGGGAGTAAGATTAGATTGAGAGTGAGAATATAGTAATGCATTGCTCCTACGGATTCACATTATACACTTTGTCCTCTTAGATATAACACTCATTCAAGAGATTGATAATTTAAATTTAATTTTGCTTGTTGATTATTAATGTTGTTTGATTTACGAAATTGTTCTATTTACATTTTAAATTTCTAGAAATTTAACTTTCTATATAAAATGTCATCTATTAAAACCAATATTGTGAAATAAATCTCCTTCCAGGATAATATGAAATTAGTTAGATATGTTATAAAATATGAATTCTAGTGTCATCCGACATCCCACAAAATTGGGAGTCCTAAAAAAATACCTTAATACCTTACCTTGATTTTTACCGAAGTTGCTCCTGTAGGAGCATATTGTGATTTCTTCTTTTTCGTGGTAGGGTTATTCATGATTTATTATATAGCATTCAAAGCTTTATTTTATTTTTGTCTTTAATATAATATAATATGAGGGTGTATAAGGTGCACCTTATACTATACAAGCAAGGTGAACATCTAAATTTTGCTAGAAGATGTACTTCTGGTGTCAGAAACGTTATGATGGTTTCAAAGTCCATGTTCAACCCTAATTATGAATTAAAATTCTAAAAATGATGCAGATTGAGCAAATCTATAAAAACTCGAAAATCTTGAAAATAGACAGCCCAAATAACTTATTACGAGTTGCATTATTTTTAGGGCTTGAAATTCTTTCTTTTTCTTTATTTTATACATCTTGAGGTCAAGATGATCAATTGGAAGGTTTCTAACTTGGGAAAACTGTTTTCTACTAGATTTTTGAGGTGCACCTTACTTCTAGAGTGTAAGGTTGCAACCTTATATAAACTTTTTCATAATATAATATAACAACATATAATACATAATAATATGTTATAATATATAGCATAATATAATATAATATAATATAATACATATAATATTATGAAATAGTTGGGATACGGCTCAAATGATGAGAATATTGTATAAGGTCTACACATGAGCGTGTTTATTTATTTTGTCTTAATAATATAATATAATATAAAATAATATATATATATATATATCATCATCATCATCATCATCATTTTAGCCTTTTCCCAATTAATTGGGATCGGTACATGAATCATGGTTCTCCATTCTGCTCTATTAAAGGCCATCTCTTTAGTGAGGCTATAAGTCCCCATATCTTTTGGGACTACTTCCAAGCACGTCTTTTTTGGCCTACCCGTTACTCGTTTCAGTCCTTCCTCTTGAACTAACTCACAGCTCCTAACAGGTGTTATACTTGGCCTAAGTTTACTCTCTCTCATTTTATCTCCTATTGGTGCCACGCTTAAATTCTCTCGAATAGATTCATTTCTAATTCTATCCCTTCTTGTCTTGCCATTCATCTATCTCAACATTCTCATCTCCACACACTCATTCTATGGGTATATTGTTTTTTGTCCGCCCCATGGAGCAAAGTTGGTCTCACTGCTATCCTATAGAACTTTCCCTTCAGCCTCATCATGAATATATATATATATATATATAATATTATATATTTTATCAGGTCTTCACTGTGAGCTTACAATAACTCCACCAAAATTTTGGTGTTTTTGGCGAGAGATGTGGGTGTGTGTGAGAAATATGCATATTCAGGTACAACCCTTTGGGTGTATATTATGTCTTTAGTCCCTCACATGACACACCCATAAAAAAGATTCATGAACAAAAAATTTTGTTTTTCTAAATCAACAAAGAAATCAAATGTTATTTATGCATTAAAATATTTTAAATATTTATTTTATATGTAGATATGTAAACCAGCAGGACCAAAAGAGTAGTAGTTTGTAAGGAAGTTCATTTACCCAAAGAACTTGTCATCGAGCCTATACATGAACTTCCAAAGACCTATTCATCTGACGCGTGGTTCTGAAGAGAGCTCATGCTTTATTTATAGTATATGGTTATTCTCTACTTTGTTGCTTAGAGCATCATTCGTGGAGATTTGGATTCTATTCTTTACTGTTATGTCTTCTAATTTTTGTTCCTGGAAAGTTTAGCTATGCAATCTCTTAAGGAATTCTGATAGGCATGTAGTTGCTTCTCGTTTATGAGTTTACATCTTACTGATTTGGTGTTCGTTACTACGCATTAATCCTCGTGGATGAATCATTTCTAAAGTCATGCATCACTTGAAGTGGATTTGAGTAACTTGCTGCACTTGTCTTTCTGAATTTGGATTTGGCATCATGTGGCATGGATTTGGCATCATGTGGCATCTTCACTTACGGTCCCTCACCTTCTCCTTTTTTATGTTTTCATGTCAAAGTTGTGCTTATGTAAATGAACTACAGTCAAACATTCTGGTTTCTACGTGTATTAGAAAAAGAACTCAGCATATTCACTTGTTCAAAGAAATGTTGTAAATATGTACAAGGCTATGCATGTAGAAAAGTTAGCAGCATAGTAACACCTTTGTTCTGGTGTCTGTCCTATTCATTTGAGAATAGATCTATATCATCATTGTACCTGAAAATCGTCTGTACGTTTCTTTAAAGAATCTATATTCTATTATTATGATTTTTTATGAACATTTCCATATGCAAGTCATCTTTTATATATGATTTCTTTGATAGCCAATGAGTTATTACATGGTTTATTGGGAAGCTATTGTAGGATTACATTTTTTTATATCCGTTCCATTAAGGCCTTTGGCTCTATGGATTCTCACACTTTGTAGACTTCAGTTCTTGATATATGGTTCGCTTTGTTATTGTTTTGAATGTTTGTCAGTGAGGATGGAAAACTAAGCTGTGGGTATTCAAGCTTTAGAGGAAAAAGATCAAGCATGGAAGATTTTTATGATGTTAAAACTGCTAAAATCGATGGGCACACAGTTTGTCTGTTTGGGATTTTTGATGGTTTGCTTCCCCCAAACTCTACTAAATTATTTGATTTGTTTATATTTTGCTGGTAGAACTTTTCGATCTGGAAATTTTGATTTTTTTGTTTCTCCTTGCTCGCAGGTCATGGTGGTTCGCGTGCTGCTGAATATTTAAAGGAACATCTTTTTGAGAATCTCATGAAGCATCCGCAGTTTGTCACCGACACCAAATTGGCTATAAGTGTGTCTGGCATTTTGATACTCATTTCCTAACCAGTTTCTTTGCATATAAGGTTTGCTTGTTTTGAACTCATTGAAGAAACCTTAATTTTGTTTGATTGGTGATACCTTGTGAATTTCAGGTGAAACATATCAAAAGACAGATTCGGATTTTCTGGAAGCTGAAAGTAACACTTTCAGGGATGATGGTTCAACTGCTTCAACAGCGGTGTTGGTCGGTCGCCAGTTATATGTTGCAAATGTCGGAGACTCACGTGCAGTGATATCAAAGGCAGGAAAAGGTATAGCAGGTTTCTAGTTTACTTCATTGTTTCTGGGAGGAATTACCTCTGAATGACAAATACATGATGTTTCATGATGATGTACTTGTAGCGTGATATGGTCCTGATAAAATTTGAAATGTGTAATGATTCCCTTGTTATCTTTGTCTATATATCTAGTCTATGTGAAGCCACTAAACTTTATAGTCTGGCAAGTGTGATTACCTCATCGAAACCAAAGGTTAGTTTGGATATCAAACAAAAAAAGCTCATCATTTGGAAAACTTGCAAGTTTCTGAATATACATCCAAATAATTTTAAAGTTTTATTTATTTAGTTATAAAGTCGTTTGGCTGTTTTCATTTTTTCATAGTTTGAAAGAGCTTATTTTATCTAAGTGATACGTTTGTTTGGCTTCCAAAGGAGATATTTTGTTATAACACACCCCTTCAATGAAAGTAATAGCAACCCTCTAATCAAAACATAGCAGTTTCTGCCATCCAATCTCTTGATCATTATGAAGCCTTTGCCTCCAAAAGGCAAAGCCTCTTATGTCCAAAAAGCCCTCTAGTCATCCAATCTCTTCATCAATATCAAGTCTTTTATCTTTCTCACCTTCTTAGCAATTTCAGGAAAAGCTAAGAATAAATTTAGAGGTTCCAAGCCTCCATCTCTGTCTTTGCTTGGCATTAAACGCCATTCCTAGACAAAGACGCTCAACACTGGCGATTGTGATTCAGGACCAAGTCTCAATGAGACACTCAGGCACGCCCAAATCCAGTACCTAGGAGTAATCTTTAATAAGACACTTGGTGTAAGGGCATCATTTGTCATTAGTGAGAAGTATATTTTTAAAAGAGGCCAAGGACATTTATTAGTTGTTAGAAAGCAACTAATGCCTCATGTCGATGATGCCACCTTCCGTGTAGATGTGACATCTCATGTGGGTGATGTTATTCTTTGCAATAGTTAATAAACGTTTTTGGTTCTACAAAAAATTCAACTTGATTAATTACCTAAAGTACCTCTAGATATAAGTCATTTATATTGAGAAGGGTAGCAAGTGTAGTTTTAGGGCATACACCACAAAGGGAGAAGCCTAACAAAACCAGGGGGTGTTAATGGTTCGGGTCAACTTGGGTCGGTTTAAGGTCAACCCTGATTTGGGCACTAACTTGATTGGGTCCTAGTTAGACCTAGACATGAGCCGGACCTGACTTAGGCTTGTCTTGGATCTAGGTTATTAGACCTAGACTCAACTCGCTGAGTTGGGTAAAGAAAACAAAATGTGTTATAAATATTTTATAATATATAAATAATATTCTTATATATTATATATAAATATCAGCTCGGGTTAGGTGTGGTCGATCTTGACCCAGACCCAACCCGATAAAGTCTAGGATGGACCTAGATCCAGACTTGATTTAGGTTAGCTCCCTATTATTTGGACTCGAACCCGACCCATTGGGTCCAATATTTGGGTTTAGACCCATACCCATGTTAGGTCGAACCGTTGGGTCGATAAGTCAACCCGACCCAATTGCCACCCCTAAAAATCCATAGAGAAAGAAGTGGATCATTACAAGTTCCACTAGCCCAACCAGAAAATCACTAGTTTGATTAGCCTTTTAGCTTTTCTGGCTCAAAGACTAGATTAGAATGAGCTTTGAGTCCAGTTCTCAACTCACTTGCACAAAATGGTAGGGGGGTCCAGTCTTTTATAACATGCTTGGAATGGAAAGTTAGCTAAGAGGGCACTACTATATATGAATCTATTTTCTATCACTTTTTCCTTCGATCTACCCACAATTTGTGGGGAGAACCCCATTGATATACGTGAAAGAAAAATTGGTTGAGAGAGGAACACCATATCAAAATTTGAGTTCATTTGGCCATGGGAATTATGAGTTATGGCCATGTCTTTGAGAGGAAGAAAACTTGAATGTTGTTGGAAATTGGGTCCCCATTGCACTATGCACTTTTTGCAAAAGTTTGGTGGTCCATTAGGCATTGCTGCAAAAGTGGCACTTGATTTGAAACATAAGCTTCTAGTGTATTCGGTGACGGATATCTAGGGGCTCTTTTGCAAATTTGGGCTGTTTAGGGGCTGGCATCCACTTTGTAACCCTGAGAGAGATCCGAAGGGCCATTCTAAGTCATCCAACTTCCGATTGAGCTCAATTTTGGGATTTTAGCTTTTTATCATAGTGCGTCCCTATCATGAAAGTTTTGAATCATTTGGCAATGGATTTCATAGTGCTCTTTTGTAAATTGAGGGCTGACTTGGGCACTCACTTTGTGTTTCAGCTTTGGGAGCGACATTGTGGTCATTTGGTGTCGGATCGGCTCGATGCTTGGAGGGTAACCTTGGGGTAACTTAGGCTAAAGTTAAGGACCTTGGATTATAGGTTTGTGAGGTTCTATTTCAGCTTGAGCATGCAGTTGGCTTGGGTTTTCTTCGTCTTTAGCTAGGGGCTCCTTCTCATTATCTAGAGAGGATCTACAATTATTGGGCTCAATCTTAGGCTGCTTTCATCAAGGTACCGGACCCTACCTACGATTTAGTCAAGTGAACTGGGAACTGGACTCAAATCTCATACAGTCTGATCTTTGAGTCAGAAAAGCTAAAAGGCCAATCAAAACTGGTTTGATTTGCTAGATGGTTTAATGGAACCTTTTTTTTATCTATTTCTTTCTCTATGGATTTTTAGTGGTTATTGGGTATGGCCGACCTACCGGCTCAATAGGTTGACTTGACACGGGTATAGGTCTAGACCCAAATGTTGGACCTGATGGATTGGGTCTGGAGCCAAATAATATGAACCTGACCTAGATTCGGTATGGATCTTGGTCCATCCTTGACTTTATCAGGTTGGATTGATTCTGGGTCAGGATGGATCCCACTTGACTCGACCTGATATTTATGTATAATATAATTGTATACTATTTATATCTTATAAAATATTTATTGCACAATTTGTTTTCTTGACTCGACTTAGCGGATTGGGTCTGGGTCCAATCAACTAGACTCAAGGTCCAAGTCGGGTCTGAGTTAGGTCTGGGTCCAGCTAGGATTCAGTCAAGTCAGTGCCTGGATTAGGGGTGACCCTAACCCGACCCATTAACCCCTTAAGTTTTTTTAGGCTTCTCCCTTTATAGTGTAGTCCCTAAAATTACACCTAATACCCTAATTTCTGAATATAAATGACTTATGGGTACCTTAGGTAATTAATCACGTAAGTTAAAATTTTTATGGAAACAAAGATATTTAGTAACTATTGCAGGAGATGACATCGTCCACATGAGATGTATATTGTCCACATGGGGGGGGGTGATACAGCATCCACGTGGAGCATTAATTGCTTTCTAACAACTAATAAATGCTATTGGCCTCTTCTAAAAGTATCTATTTACCTCTCACTAATACCAAAATGCGCCCTTAGAATGTTTTTGCATTAAAAGTCAGGGAAAAAGGTGTCCAATGAATATTGGGTAGGTTAAAAGGTATTGCCGTAAGCAGAGTAGTCTAA